CGCCCCTCGTTCCTTTGGTCTTATTGCGGGGTGTGCTTGGGAATATTTTTTTATCGACTGTCAAACACTGTGTATAAAAATTTAGATAATTTTAGGCTCTAGATTAGCACGATTAGATGTGAATGTAATGTAAGCTAGATATATAATTTTAAACTTTATAGTAGCCACATTAAAGAAGTACAAAGAAACCTGTGAACTAATTTTCATATTTCACTTAATGTAATATCTCCAAAACACTCTCCTTTGAACACGTAACCAATATAAAAATTATTGTGATACTTCACACGTTTTTTTGTGCTAACTCTTGGAAATCCGGTGAATGCTTTATACTCATAGCACATCTCAAGTCTGACAAAGTCACATACCAAGCAAGTGTGGCCAGTGGCTGCCATCTTGGACAGCACAGCTCTCGACGACATCGCGTCCCTCCCCGGAGGGCTTGCTTTTGCTCCCAGTAGGCCATTAGGCTTGGGGAAGAAATTGAGCAAATTTCAAGGGTTTGTTTGTTTTCTGTCTGTTCGTACTCCTAAGTGTGTCCCTGCAGGGGTCATCATTGAGATGAAAGTAGGGAGTGTTTACCAGGGAACTTGTACCTTGCCAGGCCCTAGATTCTGATTTTTGTCTCCTTGGCCCCTTGGACTCTGGGAAGCTCTGCTTCACTCCTCAGCTTATATCGGCTGCCACTTGTGAGTTCACGGCTACCTCGGTGGGATAAGCAATGCCCAAACCGGCCTCAGCTCATCAGGACCCCTTTTGGTTACAACTTGGCCTCTCGGCTCCTGACCTCTTTGACAATCTCTTCTACCTTAAAATAAATTACACACACACACACACACACACACACACACACACGCACACACACACTATTTTCTGATGCTGTTTTTCTACTTGTTCTCCATGGGACGGTTGATTTGATACAAGGCTTTTTGCCATAGCCAGAAGTGGAAGTAAAATAACATCTTCTTAATTAACTGAAACCAGACTGTTTTGTTTTTTTTTTTCTGTTTGGCAATCAGCGCTGTTTCGGCCTTGAAAAGAAGACTTATTTCTCTTCCTCTGATTCAGCATACCCAAATCCCTGGGGAATAAGCTTATTTCCCCAATTCTAAAGATTGGCAAATTGAGGTACAATGAGTTTCTTTCTAATGAGACTGGAGTTCCAATCCCGATCCCAGTCTGTCTTTGCTCTCTGCCCCAGAGCTTCCCAGCTGCTTGACCCTTCCGGCCTGTATGGCTGCATGGCAGGGAGCCTTGTTGACCTAAGTGGCTCCTGAAATCCACCTCTGTGCCTGCCCTCCACGTGGGAGCATAGGGAAATGGAAGAAATGGTTGTAATTCTGGGCAAGCCTCAAGGTTCCCAGAACGTAGGAGGCACTCTCAAAGGACAC